TATATATATATATATATATATATATGGCTCCATATGTGTATATATATATGTATGTATGTATGTATGTATGTACGTGTATATTTATATACATATATGTACATGTATGCATACATATACATATATCTGTAAAGATAGAGAAACAAGCTGGAGAAGAGAAGGAAGAAACAGAGGGAAGGGATTTATCGAATAAATAATATTAATAATAGATGTCTGAATATATTTTCATTATTCATGTATTCATTTTTTCCAATGCAACTATAATAGCCATTTATCATTTTACTAAGCTACTATTTGATTCACAATTGCTTACGTACGTTTTTTTGCACATAATGTGAAATATATGTATATTTAGTTTTTGAAGAGAGAAAGAATAAATAAATTTCAAATATAAAAAAATTAAAAATACAGAGATATACACGCTTTGTAGACTGGAATGTTAATCATTCCAGTCTTGGATTTGGATTTGACAATCGGTCATAATTTAATATATTATGCAATGGATAAAAAAACTGATTCAATGCTTGCCACCAATGATTTTACGATTGAGATACGTAATATGGTGTGCAGCAAATACAAGTAATTGTAAAATATTAGAGGCGTTCGAAATTCCTGTTCCAAATTCGTTATTTGCTTCGCTACTTCGTTAGAAAGCTTTGTCGAAAAAGGTGGTTGCAATTTCTTATGATAATATTTCATTAATTCAATATCATCTTTATCGTATCACAGAATTGTGTGCGAGACCTTGGTTAACAACGGCGATAGATTGAACAGGATCGTTATAAGTAGAATGTAACTTCCCTCGTATCCTGTACACCCCGTAGTTTTTACTCTTGTGCTCGGCAATTACTACGTCATAGCGTACTAATAACTAATTAGCCGTGTGTGTGGGATGTAATGACGGGACAATAGGCGGCAGTCACGATGGGAAGTACTTAGTTCGACGATAAATGCTTGCCCCTATGGCCTACATTTAATGTTTCCACAATGAACAACTCCCTCTTCTCTCGCCTGACGAGAAGAGCTGTAGGAGAGATCTATATTGCCATTGGCTATTCGTATCTTTTTTTTATTTTTTAGTATTTTTTTTTTTTTTTTATTAGGTGTATCGTTATTGTTGTAGATGAAGTATTCTCCATGATTATTCGATCGTTTTCTCTATACTTGTCAAGATATTCTCGCGACGTATACGACAAAGTTGCAGGGTATTGAATATAGATCAAATTTTTTTTCGCGAATAAGAATAGAATTTCGAAAGGATCAGATCGTTGATCGATCGCGTTTGGATCAATGTCAATGTGGTGGGGTGATCTATTTGGGGAGACGCGATGCGTAACGTACAAGAATCAGCCAACAAGATGAGTCGTGAAGCCAGAAAGGTGCAGAAGCATCTCTCGAAAGGAAACGAGTACCCGAGACTGCTCAATGTGCTCATCTGCAATTGGACCATCTCTTTATGCACATACTATCTACTTTCGACCTTAGAAATCGCCGCCGCTGCCGCCGCCGCCGTAACTTGAATTGAACAAGACGAAGAACGACGCAAATTTTGCCATCTCATTCAATTTCGAACGGGATGGCAGCGGATGATCCCCTCTGCCAGGAATCTTTAATGTCCGTCGAGTTTGAGGTTTTTGGAAAAGTGCAGGGTGAGTATCATCAAATATCGTTCGTTTCGACACGTCACTTAATTTGCGCCGCGACGTCAATTAAGATACAATCCTGTAGTATTATATATCAATCTCTACTTGCCACAACAAATCGATATCCAAATTGTTCGAGCTGCAGAAATGCATTGTTTCATTTTTAATACTCTTTGTAAAAGGTAAATTATACCAGGAACGGAGACTTTTGACTTTTCTGAGTGTGGAGTACAAGCGGGGAAGGAAGGTGGTTAATTTCAATAACACACAAATATTTTATCTTTTGTTGTATGTGTGAAATATATTTTCGACATATAGTCTTCTGTATTTAATTTCTTTTCATATAGGTATTTTCTCTTTACAAATATTTTTTTTACAAATAAATTTGGGGAGCGTTTTTTACGGTCGAGGCTGGATCTTGGTACTTAATAATATTTCTATATCAATTTTAAATCCATATTATTCAGTCATTTAAATTGCGCGCCGAATTAATTTCGGGATATTTCTTTTAAATATCCTAAATTCTGCATGTGAAATTCCTTATTCACTGGGGAGATCTGGGTACAGAAAGTTCCACACTCTCCGATAAGGAAATCTCCGTTCCTGAATTATACAAAATTCCAAACACGTACTATTCCAACCTATCTCAGATCATATACTGATTGTAAATATCATTTCTTTCATGTCGTTTCTTTCTCAATCGCATACTTCAATATTCCTTTATATAATATAATCGTTAAATATTGCTGACATGAAATGTAGTACTTGTCTACTTTTGTCTACAGTTTCTTCTTTCCACTCGCATAAACACGCATAATGTAACAGTGTTAATTATTTATCCTAAATGCATTACATATAGTTGCATATTTGCGTTCGATTGCAAGGTACTTTTGACATTTGCCGTATTTGTCTTATGTGTCATCTATGTTCGTATCATATATGACAGCATATGTATTTCTTTAAAAATTTGGCATCTATTTAGCTCGTTGTTAGCAAAAATAAAAGATTCTTCAACGAAATTGCAGGTGTATATTTTCCAAAGTACGTGAGAGATATATGCCTACAATTGAAAATCTGTGGTTGGGTGAAAAACAGTAAAACTGGCACGATCATTGGGAAGATGCAAGGACCTCGAGCGCTTGTCGATCAGATGTAAGTGTCTTGAAACAAAATCTCTCCAATCTATCGATCTAACTGAATGAAATAGCGAGACTATTTAGTTAGAAAAAAAAAAGCCATCAGTTTACCTATCACATTACGTACGATGGCGGGCGTTTACGTATGGTTTGCGCCTTGGTTTCTTGATCGTATATGGCCTTGACTAACAATTGTTATATAATCAAGCGATATGTTGAAAACCAACTTTATAATATTTGATTTAATAAAATGATGACGCTGCGACGCATCATCTCTTTTTTTCGTCGATGATTGTCATATGTCTATATGTACATTGACCCGGTCGTCGATGTTGGAAGAATACAGACCATCTTACACAAGAAATGATTTCAAGTTTCTTAAAAGGTTCCGTTCGAGATAATATATGTATATGGAAGCTAGCTAATCGAGTGGCTAAATTTCTAACAATAAGTTTGTAAATATACTCGTACTCGCATGTGTATTTACGTATATGCTTTGTGATAAGAGAGCAAAATAGAATACATTTGCCCTTAGAAGATGAATGGTCGAGTTGTCAAAAAGAAATGTAGAAAATTAACTTATACGAAATGTGAGTCAGATCGAAACACAGAAATTTATTACGTCTTCGATCGTGATCACGTAAACAGACATGCGTACGTTAAAATTATCATAAAAAAATGCTTACACTCAAAATAGTTTAACATTGTTAGTCAAATTACAATACTGATAACAATATTGATAAAGAATTTAATGTTACATGAGGGAGACAGGGGGAGGGGGAGAGAGAGAGAGAGAGAGAGAGAGATAAAATTGTTACGAAAGTAACATCCATCTCATTATTCTCTCCCTCTCTTTCTCCATCTATATAATCAGCCAATTACAAAGAGTTGAATAATTCGACAGCTTTGCGTAAAAATATCTGCACTCGGTCCAATTAGTCGCTAATTATAATTTCAGAGCGTGATCAGTGGCAAATGCATTCGTACACAGAATGTACACTTCATCAACGGTGTTGTTTGGTAACAAAAAATAACGATGTCAACGACGCGTTTGGCAACACGTCAAATATTTGCATGCCCTTTTTAAACTTGAAATCGACCGTCATTCAATTTTTCGTCTGCCAATCGTAATCTATACCAAATCTATACCAAAGAATTCTGTTTCACACTTATATGCGTGAAACTTGTTTTTTGTCTTTTCAAAAAAAAATCAATAGCGATCGTTTATCGATAGCATTTTATGTACTAGTAGCAAAATAACATTTATAATATATTTAATGTGTAATGTGTAATAAATCTAATAAATCTAATTTCCAGGGCACAATGGTTGACATCAGTAGGCAGTCCAGGTAGTGAGATACATCATTGCGAGTTTACAAATTGGGAAACTGTTACTAAGCAGCAATATCAAGGTTTTGTGATTCGTTTCTAAAAATACAGCGCACAAGTGAACGTGTTTAATGCTGCATTAAACTCTAATATTGATGCAAATTAATTGATTTGCATGTGGCATAGGATATGTTCAAAAATTCTATAAATCCGAAATAGTTGCGCGACAATTGTATGCATCAGTATTTTATTTTATTTCGACAGTTTACGTACGATTCGATTGAAACACAATATTTTATGTATTTTCAATAAATTATAGAACCCCTCTAAAAATTGTTAAAAGACGATTATTTACAAGGGTATATATCCGAAAGAAATATACATTTGATAATTACAATAGATGTAATTACAACATTTATAATTTAAACTTAATGACTTTATATAGATTCTTAAAAAAATTTTATATATATGTAGATACATATAGAGATCATTCTACGTCAACTCTGCCACCTCCCCTTCTAAAATTGTACTCAACAAATTATAACTTATAGGATACTAAAATTTAGGTAAAAATTTTTCGATGCCATGTATAGATTTTGAAAAATAACTTTGATTTCGTCAATCAAATAGAAAACGAATTTGTTTAAAATTATTTCCTTATTCAAATCTCCACTATTTCTTGCAAATGAAGTACTGTAGTTATTTTTAATGTAATTTTGCATACTGAATCCGAATTAAAAAATATTATTATATGGATTGGCCAAAAAACTTGGCCAAAATTGGTGTTGAAAAATAATAATTGGGTAATTTTATACTTTTATAGAAATAAAGAAAAAAAAATAAGGTAAGAAAAAGCATTCTTAAAAATAATATTTTCATTTTTCAGTAGATACAAATAAAAATTAAATGTTTATTTGGAAAAAGAATGCAATTATGATCAAAAGCGGCAATTCTGGTCATTTTTATTGTTTTTTTTTATTTAAGTATTAACGGTTATTTTTTAAATTCAGATTCGGATTTAATATACAAAATTGCATTAAATTGACTATTATACTTCATTTGCAAGAAATAGAAGAGATTTGAATAAGGAAATTAAAAAATTCTTTTATTTCATTGATAAAATCAAGATTATTATTTGATATTTTTTTAAATCATTACATGGAATCGAAAATTAGAAGTTTCAACCTAAATTTTGGTACCCTACAAGTTACAATTCATTGAGTACAATTTTAGACAAGAGGATGATTGAGTTGACGTGGAATGACACATATACAAGGTCCAGGCCAATAATATGTACAAGCGGATACGACGTGATTTCTTAGACGTGAAAAAAATAAGAAAAAACATAGAATAAATTTTTTAAATTTTCGACTTAAATTTTCGAGAAAATTGAGTTTGAAAATCCACTGTGTACACATGCTGTTACAGCTAATATTCGTCAAGTGACGGCTGCCACAGCAGCCAAGTTGCAACAGCAATTCTGTAATTAATGAAATAAAATTTTGCTCATTAAAAATTTTCTTTGTGTTTGAACTCAGTAGCTTTCAAATGTCGTGTAGACATTGTTTATAAACATGATGCGCGTTATACTCGATGAACCGTACCTTATTTGTAACAGCATGCGTAGGCAGCGGATTTTCAAACTCAATTTTTCGAAAACTAAGCCGAAAAAATTTATTCTATATCTTTTCCTTATTTTTTCATAAGAAATCATGTCGTGCCCACTTGTACATATTTATTCAGCCAGACGTAAAGATGCAAAATACATTATGAATTAATGTCCTGTGATATAATAGCATGCTAGCATAAGGTATTATATATAGATACGCAATCACTTATTGAAATAGAGTACAGCTCATATCAAGCAGACATCAAGCATTAATATAATTATTTTTTAGATCGAAATCGCGCTCGTAATTCTATTTATAATTAAATTGTTTATTAATACACCAAAAAATATGTAGCAATTCAGATGCAGTTTGATTACCACCTTTTAATACTTTCATTTATATTATTACGCGTGAATGTTTATTGTCTTTCCATCGATAGAAGACAATGGTTTCAAGTCTATTCATGTTTCATTGTGTGTGTGTGTGTGTGCGTGCGTGTGTGTGTGTGTGTGTGTGTGCGTGTGTGTGTGTGTAATAAAATTCTTCTATTCTCAATTTTTCTACTCTATAATATCACAGGACATAGTTTACAAAATTCAAAATTAGTTGTTATCTTTATAAATAAATGTTGCGTCTAACATTAACAGCATAATGTGATAATCACAGTGAGTTTTAGGTAAATGCACAGATACTCGTCGAATCAATTCCACAGTGTCGGCATTCAAACAATTTGTACAGATTATTTCAGGCAAATTCTGAGAAAAGTTGAACGGTTAACAAAGTCTAAAATATTCGATAAATATAATAGAACTGAATCATACTTACCAGGCTTTCCAAGTATCTTGTAAGCGCTGGACTCAATCGGGACATTTCTTCCAGAAGATTAGGTGTTTTTGAGAGATACGCCATCATTCTTCTTCCAGCTATAGGCAATAAGTTTGCAGCTAAGCGTTCAATATCGGTTACTGCTATAGTTACCTAACAACACATACATATATTATAAATTAATAGATGTAAGTATAGAGTAAATGTATTATGTGCATAGTACACATGGTATAATTGTAAGCATCTGTATTCCGTGCGTCTCTCTCTCTCTCTCTCTGTGTGTGTGTGTGTGTGTGTGTGTGTGTGTGTAGCAAAATTAAGTCGTACCAAGCACACAAAAGTAAATAATAAATAAATTTATTATATATTTACCTCTTCCGCTAAACGATCAAAACCGTTTATGTACAGCTGACAGGCTTGATGTATTCTCAATTCGTCATTATTAATTTTCCAGATAGATGCTAATGTTTGACACTTGTTCATCCATGAGATAGCCTGTGTCGAACTAACCGTTACACCGTCAGTGGTTTCTCGATGAATAAATTCCATCGATGCTGTAATTACTCTACATAAAAATTCTGTACGTATATTATCCCTCTTGTCGTCTCGGTACCATGTGAGCATCGCTTTGTCCGTTATGTCTTGAAAAAGATAAGGCTGTACCTAGGTACGAATAAACGTTTATATATAAACACAAACATATATACACAATTAATTATCGTATCTTGCTATAGACTTACCACGGATTCGAACAAATTATTTAATGGTTTCAGCATTTTTAAATTGAGGCATGCCATCATGTATAGGACATTAGCCACTTGTACGTGTAGCAAAATTAAGTCGTACCAAGCTGGAGTTTGGGAGATAGCTAGTGCGGCAAACGGTTGTGGTCCACCGAAGTGTCCGTCCCACAATTCTTCCGACTTTATTACTGCACTATCTCCTCGTTCAAGTATCTCAGTCTACATAGCAATGTAAATCAATTCGTATACTACAGTTTAAATTGACAGAATAACACTGTGGAACAAAATTTGGGCTTTTTTGCATCACGAGTGTAAATAGTCATTTCCGACATATTTTTGCCTGCTAATTTTTGCACGAATCCGTTGGCAAAAGTTGGCTGTCAAAATTTTGAGAAAAATGCATCAAAGGGACCAAAAATTTCATTTTTCTAACAATTGTAACGTAATAGCAAACTTATACCAACAGATTCGTGTTCAGCAGGCAAAAATATGTCGGAAATGTTTATTAACACTCGTGATGCAAAATCGTGTCCCAGTGCAGTAATTTACGACGCATATATCCGCCACATGGATTTGTCATGTAATAATTTACGTAATTTTCTGTATTCTACGTACATCGATAAATATATCCAAAAAAGCAACACAGTGTTGTAAAAACGTTGTTACTTGAATGTCAGATAAACCGATGTCTTGCATACATAATCTCTCCTTTGGCAATTTTCCAAGTTTATTCATTAATTTTGCTGCCGCTTCTATTCTCTTTTTTATATGAAGCGTCCACAACAGACAGCAGACGCCTGTCGAATAAACGTAAAAATGTGTGCCCACATAAATCTACATGAATATTTGCTGAAAAAGCAATATGAAAGCCGCGTGTTTACCGTGCCTCAAATTCTTCATTGGTATTTGTCGCAAAACAGTCAAGGCAGCTGCGAGCGAATCCAGCTGGCTCACATCTTTATCCCACGACATGGCAAACTCCCAGCATAAATTGGCCAATAAAACGCTGCTCGTTAAACTGTATGGGAAATGGCGTTTGAGTAGAAGCATATTGTCTGGGAAAGAAGATTACAATTTTTTTTAAATTACGACAAAACATACATTAGTTAGGAAGTAGTTTGTTTCTCTAAAATATGCCTTGCCTAAAACGCATGCCTCCGTAGTCATGTTAATTTTTGCTTCGTCCCCAATTTCTATCGATAAAGAAAGAAGGTTTGTTCGTTCCTCTTGAGGTACTTGGACACCAGTCGCCTCATTCAGCGTTTCGGTTAAATGTAAAGAATCTACTGATAATTGCAACTGATCGAATTCTACGTCGGTCATGTCAATTAATCGCGCTGGATCGATACCCGTTGTGCTGAGCCATTTTGCAACCAGTTCAGACACTGAACCTAATTCAAACGAGAATAAGAAGCGTAGAAAACCAATTACATTGGAATACTATAAATAAATTGTACTATAAATTGTAGAGGTTTAAATGTACCTCTTCCTGCGGAGAGGATCGATGCTAAAGAAATGTCGTTTCTCGTAAATGGTAGAGCAAAGAATCGTGCTGTCTCATCTGATACAACTCGCTGGCTAGAGATTAAATTAACGTTTATTATTATGATAGTCAAAAATCACGACACATACCTTATGTACCTTTAACAATTACGCACCTAATAACAGCATTCAAAATAGTAATATCTTCAAGATTTCCGATCAACAGGGTGAACTGACAGGTATCATTGCTGACATTTTCCCATTCGCTAATCGAACTGTACGTTTCATCGTCCGGTGTGACATCATTTGTTTTACTTTGCATTTCATTTGATCCAGTTACATTATTTCCATTTTTAACGCCTTCCTCTTCATTTCCATTACTCCCCAACCGCTTCTGATTTTGCATTTTTTCTTTACACTTTTCTAGAGTCATAGCAGTCGCTCTACATGCTAACGCAGCGGTAAACGCGTTGAAAGGTTTTGTAGATTCTAGCAGAATAGTGCGAACATTTTTCCACCATAAGGAAACTTCGTTATATTCAACACATATTTCTTCCACATCTGTTAAATTTCAGTTAATTAAATTCAATACACACGATATAATTACGTGATGCGTATTATGAAGCAATAATAATCAAAATTTACCGGTTAATAAACATATAGCATGCAGCAATTGCGTAAAGCGTTTTAATTTAATTTCTGAAAACGTAGCCTCTTCCTTGTACGTCCAATATATTAATGCCAGTCGCATGAAAATAAACGGTTGAATGTTACTATCTTTAGCCGCTTGCTGCCATCTCTCTTTGATATCGTCGGAATACATTCGTCCCTGATATATCAATCGTGCTGAAAGTTACATTAAATCGTATTTTATAAAAATACATATTAGATACAAATCGTGATAGTAGTAAATTTACATAATCATTACAAACCATACTTACAGATTTTGTGTACATTTTCTTCTTTTATACCTTTTCGTAACCCAATCAATTTCGATGTGCCCAATTCAAAGCATGATAAAAAGTCAAAAAACACATTTTCATCCTTAAATTTGACTTTAACTTCTGTCGAAATGTTACCATCTATCAAGTTATTTAATATTTTAGCCAATTTGATAACACGATTTACTTCTCGTTCGGAGGTTAATAATATGGAAGATAAATTTTTAGCACTCGTTGTGTTATCAACCATTGTAACCATATCGCATTCGGATGATACATCAAGTTGAGACTTGACATATTTATAAAATGTAATTATTCGTTGCAACTGCATTATCAATTGACGAAGCATCTTGGCGGGAGGATCCAATTCTTCTTCTTCTTCTTCTTCTTTTTCTTCTCCTCCTTTTATTCCTCCTTTCTTTTCTTCGTCTTCTGCAATTAACAAAACATTCGTATAACTTGTTTATTTGTATACAGCACAGCACATTTTGTACAGTGAAACGTGCGTTCTGCATATACCTGATTTTACTATAAAACAATTCGTCGCAGCGAGCAAAGCGTCTGGTAAAATATGCTTGCTGTTCATTAAAACTTCTATCGCTTGTATCCGAACTTCATTCGTTTCTAAACCCAAACAAGTATTATTAACTTCGGAAATTAACTTCTCCTCATTAAAATCCTCTTCTCTTAAAAACGTTCTCAGTTTCCTGAGTAGATGTATGTCGCGTGCCCGTTTTCCGTTTTTGCTATTAAGCGCAAAATGAAATGGAACACAAATCTCTTTTAATCCTCCAAGTGGATCAATAAACAAACACGAGTATTGCGCTTTATTCTTCGACAAAATGGCACTATCATTCGCCCCCAGAAAACCATAATTAATGTACAGCAATCTGTAAGAATTTATTAGATGAGTGATTTCATATGGAGAAAAAAATGCATAAGACGAGAGTAGGGAATGAAAAAGAAAGAAATGGAAGCAGAAGGCCGGAGGAGATACGATAATATATAGATAAGACAACTTGCCGTCCATTTTTGCTAGCAGTGAAAGTAGTGATTTTTGGACCGTGTTGTATACTCCAAATATCTATTACACCCTTTTTTGGTGCATAAATAACTAAAAACAGAGCAGTGCGCAATAAAGCTTTGCGTCCAGATTTGTCAATATTCCTACGTATTCCACGATCTCTATCTTCGGTAACTTCAATCCAACCACACTGAGCATCACGATAACCTTTCCACATCCTCACAGCTATACCTTTTTTATTATTTACGAGAATCACTCTACCCATAGCGTCTGATATTATCGAAAACATTTTATTCGGACTACAAACGATGCAATGACCTTCTCTCATAATATCGCTTAAACCAAATCGACACGTCATTGTTTCTATGGATCCATGACCAATACCCTTTGATGCTTCAGATGTTGCATTCTTGGAATTTCCACGAAACCACCTGAGAAAAAATCAATTTATCGCAATAAATTAATCCTCGGCATCCGGCATTCGGATATTATATAACATAAGAAAAGTACTTACGGTACAGCAGTACCGATAGCATTAGCCAATTTACTAGCCATAGCAATGGCAACATCCGACAGGACTGGTGCATTACCACCTTCCAGTGCATAATGAAATCCTACAAACGGTCGTTTCCCTGTCGCAAGAACCAAATTGTGTTGCGGCGCACTCGATCTGTATGTTGCGTTATATCCACCACATATCGAAGCTGTCATTAAATGATCAAAGCTATTTATTGACGTCGTACCAATCACTTCTAAATCGTTTGCAATATCTTGACTTTTGAACGCCCATTTTTTATATGACAAATTTGTAACTGGTGGCAAATCATTGCAATTCGCTTGAACTGTGAAAAAAAAATTAACTAATTATTAAATTCAAGTGAGAGACAACGCAATAGACAATGATATACCTTTAGCCAAATGATTTCTACAAGCACGTAAAGTAGAAAATAATGGAAATCCTTGTAATATACAAACGCCACTGTTATATAAAATATAAACTTCTTCGCTAGAGCCAGCATCCCCAGCGTGTTTGGGTAAGCAAAACGATTGGCACTTTATTCCTAGAACCGATTCGTTATGAATTTGCTCTGCTAAGAGTAAAGCACCTGTCTAATAAAAAAATGAATATGATATAATAAATGAATGAGATATAGAATAATACGATAGTAAAAGATGAAATTGTAATACTCTCTTACTTCCGTATAGAATCGGACAAAACCTGTGTTATATCCAACAGCTATACAGGTCCAATCTGGACCAGTAGCCTTTCCCAAGGACATTAAAGGTAAGCAGATCACCGATGTTACCCATTCACTAAAAAAATAGTTGACATTAACATAAAAAAATTTTAATATAACTATTTATATTTTAATATAACTTGAAAATATTACGTACTTTGCGTCTTTTGTCACTTCTCCGTGCCATGTTACATGAAACTTATTTTTTATCTCGTCTAATTCTTGAGAGTCCCACCTTGCTGTCAATATTAAACAACATATATACTTGAAATATTATTCATGACACTTGTGTCGCACACGCAAATATACTAAGATTTTCCATCAATATGTAATATATCATCAAAGGCTATGGTTCATTCGATGCTGCAAATGTTATGATCATTTTGATGATTATTCTTTGAGATTGGTCAAATTGTAACATTCTTTCTTTTGATTCGTCAATCAAATGTTTCAAAGTATTTGTAGAATCAAATGGATCGCATCCTCAGAGTATACTATATGTAAATAAAATGCGCTTATAACTCTATTAGCGTGCACGTGGCATACTATTATGTGTTTTGGATATCTGTCACTCGTTGATGAAAAAAAATTGTACACAAAAGCATAAATAGTACTACATAAAATAAAATTTGTACCTACAAACAAATATAATCATCTTTGTATTCCAAGCCATTGTAAGTACATCTCCAACCGATGATAGCGATATAATACAGTCTTGAAGAGGCAATTCATCGTTTGGTAGATACTCGACTATAAGTAATGTATTGATAAGTCAAAATGGAAATAATATTTATTTTAGATCATATTAATGAAGAACTCACATTTGCTAACAGCATCGCCATAAAGCAATCTTCTAACACTATTTACATTTGATATGTTTGCTATTCCTTTAATTTGACAGGACATTATGCTTAATTAGTTGGTTGTACTTGTTTGCTAATCTTTTGGTGATTATTATTTACTAAAAAATTAAAAGAATTATTCGTTATCAATTATAAAGACAGACGACTGACAACATATAATTATAAATAAGCATACATACGAGTAATTCTGGGGGAGAGAAGTTGTTGTATAGTTTCATCAGGGGGATGGGTTTGCGATTTTTATTTTTTTTTTCCTTTTACTCCACCGGCTGGTGCATTATAAAGCCTTCAACCTTATCGCAAGGTTACATAGCGCAGTGCAATGCAAAAATTGCGATTTCAACCTCTCCTTGAGGTTATACCCTTTTTTTCTAAACACCAAATATTTTAATAGTTTTGTTACTAATTTGTTTTCTTTCTCGTCTTGTTAACTAATCTTCCCAATCATCTTGATCAAATATATTTAAATATTATTCCAAGTGAGTGATTCTATTGTCAAAGAGGATTAAATAGCCTATTACCTACTTTACCTACTTAGGAGTGGAGCACATGAAATCACTGAAATATGATAATACTGGAACGCGCACTGGCGCTAGTTTCGCGATTCGACAAATAGCGTTTTCGACTTGTTGACTCGATCCGATTCCGAGTCAAAATAGTCTGTTCTTTTTAGCGTTTCTTGTATACTTTAACCAGAGAAAAGCATGAGAGCGGCTAGAGTCCTAGATTATCAGAGAAGCGCGACCGGCTTATGGCAGTATCGCAAAAGTACTAGAAAATATTAAAAATGGCGTCGAATGGCCAATCATAAGTTTAATTTA